AAAAAAAAACAACAAAAACAACTACATTTCCGCGAAAATGACGTCACTTCCGGTTTCGGGCAGGTCATGGCGGACATGCAAAAGTTCACGCTGATGGACGTAGGAAGTGTTATGAACAGCTGATCGGATCGGCAAAGCGTGTTTCTGGAACATTATGTTTTTGTTGCTGCAAGAGCTTTTTATGCAGTTTTTGCAAAGCTGTATGTGGAAGGAAACTGTGACCGAGGACAAGCTGATGGCATCAGATGCAAGTACAACTCCTCCGGTTTCATATGCAAAAAAAAATAAAAATATTGTGCTAGCTTACGTGGTTGCAGTGCTGCCGGGATTTAAAAATAGTTACGCAAAACAGAGCGTGCTGCTCTGACCGGCTCTAAAGGGTTAAGTTATTTAAAAAAGGGAACGTATGGAGGTCTATTAGTGGCAGCAAAGTGACCGTTCAAGATCGTTAAATTTTTTTTTAAAAATGAATATCTTTAATTGTAAAATAAAACCCAAACGTGGAAGCTTAATCTACCTTAAACCCAAGTTTAGCCCCGCCCAGGTGTGACTCACCCCCACTGGTCGTAGCTGTTGATGTCCCACATGACGCCCTGGACGAAAATCTTGTGCTCGTACATGGCTGAAAGAACAACACAGCTGTGTCAGACTCCTCCTCTTTAAATGGACACACCTGAGACGTTATTGGTGCAACTCAAGTTTACAGTAACCGGAGATCACCTGCAGTGACTCCGCCCACAGCAGCACGTTTGATTAAAAAGCCAGTACTCACCGACCAGAGCTCCCAGTATGAACGGGGTGAGCTTCTTGAAAACGATCGAGTTGCTCGGCTTGTTCCCCAGAAACACCTGCAGAGAAAAACATCATTTAAACGCTAGAACGTCGACACGCTGTACAGTCACCTGACTGTTTCTACTCTGATGGTCACACACAGGTGTGTCCAGGTGTGCGCTCTTACCTTGTGCGGCAGCAGCTTCTCCAGAGCATCTCCCGACATGCCGGCGGCCTCCAGCTCTTTCCGGGCCTCGTCCGGAGTCTTTCCCTTCATCAGCGCTTCGGTCTGAGCCAGGAAGTTTGCCACCAGGATCTGCATGAAGCACACAACACCTGTGAGGCGTTACATCATCCAGGTGTGCTCTCGGTTCCTCCAGCTAATCAGTTCAGCCTGGCTAAGGTAACGTTAAATGTCCAGAC